CGAGCAGCGAGGGTGCCAGCAAGGCGTGTGGGGGACTGCGGTTTTCTGCCGAGCTGGAGCTCGCCATCCGCTGCGGGGGGGGTGGAGGGTGTTCCTCCATCTCCCTCATCCTCCCCGGGTCTGGGGGCGGGTTGCTTCTTTCAGAAGTTGCGGGGGAGAGGAGGGAGGCACGCCGTGACCGGCGCAGAGCTCCTCGTCTTCCTGTGCCTAGTACAGAATTGTCTAGGTTGGAAGGGACCTTTAAAATCATCGAGTCCCACCATCAGCCTAACGCTGCAGCTTAGTTTAATGTCCCTTCTGAAGAAATAGCGATGATCAAACGGGTAGTCAGCTGTAGGGTTGAAGGCATTTCTTGATCTTAAAAGAAGTTTGGGTGGTGTTGATGTGTAAATGACATCTCACACTCTAGCAACTTTTCTGTGCCTCGAGAAGAAACTCTCCCCCCTCCCCGGAAGGGAGAATTAAAAAGATTGCAGCACTTTTCACTGAGGTGCAAATGGTCTTCTCTTAGTAAGCAGCACATCTACACCTGCATGTGTAAAGCTAGTATCTAAATTCATGTCTGGGTTTCTGAGTTAGCAGTAGACTTGCTTAAACGCTGAGTGCCCAGGCATGTTTTGTAGTCGCTGAGCAATGCAGGTGTCCATCAGGTGCAGCTACCAAGCTTAGCCAGTTTTGACATAACGTGCAGTATTCCCAAATTTGCATGGAATGCATATAATTTGTATGCATAATTTGAAACAGCCTTTCTGTGGCAGCTTCACAAGTGCATATTCTTCAGAAGCAGCCCCCCAGAAGTGCTTAGCATAAGGCTCTAAAATTGTCACCTTTACGTGACGCTTCTAAGCTGATGATCCGTGAGAAAGTGTGAGGCTAGGAGCCCACCTAGTAGTCCACTGCCTGCAGGATTGGGCAACTATTGCTGAAGGGTTCTGATGACTTCCTCGTCAGAAGAATGTCGGAAGATGATAGTGGAAATGTCATTTGTAATAAGCAATCAGGTTCCTTTTAGTGAGATGGCAGCCACGCAACCCCTTCTACTAAAGCAGTCAGATTTGCAGAGGACAAAACCTGCAAATACTTGTCTGTGTGCTTCTGCTGGTGCCTGTCTGCAGCCTGCTCGTTATTTCCCCAGCACTCTGCTGGTGGAGCAGTTCATATGAGTACTTCTTAATTGGCTTCAGGCAAAATATGCCAGCTCTTATAGACTACATCACAGCAAACCGGTAGAATCAGTAATTTACAGCTCTGCTGGTCTGTGCTAATACTAGTGAGAAAGTCGTGACCGATTTGTTTTAATTCCTTCAAGATTTTTTTTTAATTTACTTTGGTAAATATTTTGAAATATAGTTGCTTCCTTTAGTTGAAAATCACCTTTCTCAGTGATTGAGCCAGTGGAGAATAAATTTTTCCTATAGAGTGTAAATGTGCTAGCTCTAAACGAGAAAAAAAACCCCAAAAAAACAAAACTCAAACCCCAGCAACCCCACACTCGGAAACCTTTTATCACGAGGTAGTGTTAAAATAAAACAGATGTGAAATTTATTTCAGGAAGAACCTCTGAAGCACTACAGTTTTTAATTGTGTGCATTTATTTTTCGTTAGTGCGTAGTTTGGGTACAGTTTTCCATACAGTTTCCTTTTGTTCTGCTTTTGTTACTTTTATTTTTTGAGATACAGTTTAAAAAATGCAACACAATGAGTAAACCAGAGAATAATTCTTTCTTCATTGTTAAGTGCAGTCATGCATAATGCATTTAGTCAGTTTATTATAAGCTTTTGATATTCAGTAGTAATCCAGTAACTTGTGTGAGAATATTAAATTCATGTTTCAAGGATCGGTGCTTTTTAAATTTCATCTGAGACTGTTGCTTTGAAAAAATTGAGCTACTGCAAATAGCGACACAACTTTTATTGATTTTTTTCCTTTTTTTTTTTTTTGTCTCTTCCCTTTCCCCTAATTGAATTTAGTCATTGAATACATATCACAGTTCTGAGCTGTTTTAGGCATGCGAATACCAGTAGTTCCTTTGAAGTCACTGGAGCTACTCGGCTTTGTAAATCTGTGTGCTTACAGTTTTAAAGGTTGTGGTCTTCTTTTACAGTATGTATCTTTTCCCATATTTGGTTTTATCAGGTGAATATAGTCAAGCATTTTGAGTGATTAATGCCACTGGGACTCTGGGGAACAATGACTACTAGGACAGCTATTAAACTAAGTTAAAATTTCACACAAAAGTGGAAAAATATAGAAAATAAAGGATTCAAAGCCTTCATACTTTGCAGTCAAGTTAGCTTAACCTCTTTCTTCTGGTTCCTAGTGTTATTTAGATACTGATGTTATAATTCTTGGTATTCTCAAGAACTGATTAATGAGTCTTCGTTTCAGATAAAATCTTGGCATAGGATTTAGGTCTTTGTTGAAACAGTGTTCAGTCAGTACTACTGTTTTAGAACTGTGGTGCAACATGGGAGAGAAATGATAAAAAACAGCAGTGATAACATAATCCTGTGTGATGGTGATTTTTCATTACCTGCATTGAATGCTATTGGCAGTAGCATTAATCGCAACGATTACTTGTTCTTAAAAACTCTCCATTTTCAATTCTATTGTGTATGCACTTAAATACTAAGTAATAATCTTATTTAATATATGGTATTGTGTGTGCACCTCCTCCATCAGAAAGGAAAAGAGAGAGAATTTGCAAGAAGCAATCTAAACCTGTGGGTGTTTGGCTCCACCTTCAGAGATAAGAAGGAACGAATGACAAACCTTTGTTGACTAAGCTCTCCTGCCTGCCTTCTCTCAGAAGTGTGGAAGTAGAGTTTTTCCTTATGTCCTTAACAAACTATAAAGGATGCTTGTGTGGAGCTGATGCCTGGACCTCTGTTTTTAGATACCTGTGTGATCAGCAGCAAAAATTTGAACATCAGTGGGACAACCTGTGGTTAATGTTATGTGTATGCTTTGCAGAAACCAGTCCTTAATGCAGTATTTCTGCGTAGGGCGTTTTAGAGGAAGGTCCAAGTAAGTGGCAGCCCAAAGTTCTATTACTTTTTTTTTTTTAAATTTATGATAGGTTATGGTATCTGTACATTAAATGGATGTGAAAATGGCTAAATCTGCATAGAGGGTCTGTTGTAGAATTATAATAATGCTTATTCTCTTAAAGCATGATTCTCTTTTTGTGGTTTCACAGGAGAGTGTTTTGTTTTCCCAAGTGATGTTTTGTAATTCTTTCTTCTTTCTTCTCTTGTGCATTAAGAAATAATTCTGAATGTGTCAATTTTCATTTTTCTTTATAGGTTCTGCCCAGTTGATGTTTAATGTGACAGATGTTGTTGAAAAAACTGACTGTAATAAAACTGTCATTTTACCCTGCCATGTGATTAATCTAAAGGAGAACAATGCAGATATCATGTTTGTTACGTGGAAAAGACAAGGAAAAAGAATTTTCTCTTTTGATGGAGCAGGAAGAAAGTCTTTAAGAGATCCAGCAGTTCCATCAGCTAACTTAGTATCTGAGGCGGATTTACCCAAGGGTGTTGCCTCTCTAAGGCTTAACAGTGCAGAAGCAGTTGTTGGAAATTACAGTTGTGAAGTAACAGAATCAAACAGAGAAGGAGAAACAAGAGTTGAACTTAGGAAATACTCAGGTGAGTTGCCTGCGACTGTTTTAGAATCTGTTCGGAGAGAAAACAAGCAAAATCTTAAGGGAAACAGAAAAATAATGAATATGACAATGCATTCCTTTCAATTGAAAATACAAAAAACGTAGCACCCAAGCCTTCTAACTTGAATGCTAATGTGAGTTATTTTGAATTAAGTTATAGGGAAGTGCTTTGGTGGGAAAGATCTGAACACATTTTTTAGTCTATAATAATGCCTGAAGATCACTTGTCTAATATCGTAAAATATATGCTTTCCCAGATCTTTCAGGTTACATAGTTGGTGATGTTTTCAGCATGCTCATATTATTGCATTACATACTGAAAGATATTCCTAATGTCTTTGTAATACTGAGATGTATACATCCATCATCGTGGCTGCAGAGATCTTTTCTTTGAAGAATTGCATCTTGCAAGCTTTAGCTATGCTGAAAAATTGCAGGTAGAACTAATAGAAATCCTGTATAGGAGCTGTAAAACTTGATCTGAACGTAGGCAGTTTTCCAGTGAGGTTGAAAATGCTGCTACTAGATGGTAACATGTTATGGTTGTCTAGCATTACATGTCATCTTCAGAAGACTATGTTTAAAATAATGGTGACTAGTGATGAATTTCTCATTTAGTGAGCCATTTTACCTTATCTTGTCAGACGCAGCCCATGTGCTCTAGTGCCTCAGCTATTGAATAATGGGATCTGCTGTACATGTGCAGTCTGTCTAATATTCTGCAAAAGTGACAATTTCACTGAACATATGTGTGTATTGTTTATCTGTTCTGCACAGGAGACTTGCTTCTTGCTTCTGGAAAGCTTCTCAGAAGCACTGAACATGTTACGTGTGCGTAGCACATGGAGTCTTACCCGTGCACTGTAGAATTGTCCTAGGTCATTCTTGCTATTAGTTTTTTCATTTGTCGCAGAAATATTTATGAAGCTCAGACAGATGTTACTTGTGTTCTGCTGCAAACGTCTGTGTAATTCACAGTTGGGTCTAATTATTGAGTTAGCCATATATACTGCAAAACAAACATGATCCTGAAATGGATTGAGAGGGGCACAGCCACTGAAAGAGTGAGGATGTTGCAAAATTATTTGGTTCTTAGAGCAATGCAAAAACAGGGGAAAAGGTATAGGCAGTTTCCTTTCTTCTCTTAAGTTTTTTCCTTAGCCTTTTTGGGCTTTTTTTGCCATTCGGTGTTAAGCTTTGGAAGAGGAAACAAGGCTTGAACATGTAGTAGAATCAAGTCCTATTTGCAAGTTTTACTTTTACTTTCTCTGTATTTAGAATTTTGAAAGTTGTATAAAGACTACAAAGCAGGAAACTGATGTAATTTTTCTAATTTCATTTTCTAGTTGTCAGTTGCGGCGAGGAAAGTACCCCAACACCAAAGGAAAAATGTGGTTGGTGAAGAATTTATAGTTGCGAGGTCACATTAGTTTGAGACTATATACTAGAAAATGTAAAACTTAGTCTTATGTTTGAGGGTTTTGCTGAAAGTAAACCAGTTGCTTGTTCTCTCTTTAAATTCTTCTGCATAATTTTTTGTTGCTTGCTCCTCAGTGTTCTAGAGAGTCTCTTGAGATAATAAGCTAATAGAAGAAAGTGTAGCAAGTGAGTTTTGAGAAGGGTTAGTGAATAATGGAAATCGTGTACCAGTCTTCACTCTGTCATTCTGAGCAATGCATTTGTGCTGTTGCTTTTAAGATGTTCAAATTGATGCTTATACAAAGATAGTCTTATAAGAGCCAACTATTCTCCATCTCATTTTACAGAATTCCTGGGTTCACATAGGAAGTGGGTATCAGAGTAAGCAAGACACTTATGCTCGTACCTTTGACTTTGGGCACGCTCTTTCATGATGGGTTATCTTCCAGGAGAGTGACCGTAAAGTTTCCCCTCCCCTCCCTCTCCTCTTTTTCCCTTCTCTTCTCTTCTCTTCTCTCCTCTCTTCCTCCTCTGTTTCCTTTCCCTCTCCTCCTCTCTCCCTCACCTGTTTCCTTTCCATTTTCCCACTTCTCTTTTTGCTCTTCTTCCGCCCCTTCCCCCAGGCTGCATGGAACTGACTTCCATATGTTTGCTCTCAAAATAATGCTATTTGCCAGGAGTTTACTTTATTGCTACGAAGCAACAGAGTAAGGGAAATGTATTACAGGGAAAATGTGTTCAGCTGTTTCTCTTATTTGTATGTTGCATGTACCAGCAGTATTGCAAGGATTTCCATACAATAAGTGCTTTTAGACTGGGAGACTGGGCCATATGTGGTTCCATGTTACATGTTGAAGTCCTAGCAGATACCAGGCTATGTGGCTGCGTTTTTTCTATTTGTAATATCTGGTATTGTCATCTGGAAATGCTGCAGAGGAAGTGAAGCTGCTTTTTAAGTCTGCGCTTGCAGATACTTCCAATTCGTTAATAATTCTCAATTACCATCGCTGGGACTTGCCTGTAAGATTTGGCTAATCTAGAGAATGGTAACTGTGCATTGAAGTTACTGTTCAATATTAGCTGCTTTTTTGAAAGTGAAAATGAAGCAAAAAGCCTTCTTTTAATTAAATTAGGCTTATTTTGCCGATAAGGAAGTTGACAGATATTCCTCCATTTCTCTGCCTTTAATATGTTTTGTGATTGCCTTGTATTTATGTCCTAACCACAGTGTCTTCTTCTGTGACACCTTGGGGGTGGGGCGGTGGAAGAGGGGAATTTGTGAATTTAACTGTCCTCAATTTATTTACTTGGCATTGAAAGTTGTGACGTATTGTTATTTAATTCCATGTTTCTGGAGCTGAAGATACAGCTTTTAAATATGGAGAGTAAGTAGAAGGAATATGCATCTAAATGAAGATTAGAAATTTCTTTGGAAGCAAGGTTGCAGGCAGAGCAACGGTGGCAAGTATAATGTACGAAAGGGAGACTTTGGACTCCACTGAGTGAATCTAAATGAAGTTGTGAGCAGAGATGCAAGAATCAACTGCATTTTCTAGTTCAGTGGAGATGTTTTCAGAATTTTATGTTGGAAGATGGCTTACATGGTCTTATAGCATGAGTGACTGAACAGCCTAAGGTATCCAAGATGCAGGAGAAGAAAAGCTAAATGGATCATGGTGGGAAGACCTAAAGGAAAATACGTGATTTCTAAAATTAACAAAGCAGTATTTCCTTCTCACTTAGGTTAGCTCCTTTATTCCTTGTCACACATCTGCATGTCTTTGAGAATTACAGCAGTTGGAGGTAGAATAGCTGGGGAAGCATCAAATTGGACTTCTTATATCTTGCCCAGCTTCCCTGCTTAGCCTAAATACACCGGTTTTCTGATCTACTGTGCTGTTTGTAGTTCCACAAGCTAACTAGCTTGTACTGCCAGACAATAGTATAAACATATCCTCTGCTGCAGTGGAGGGTAAGACCTTCAGTTTGGAAAATGTTAGGGTAACTAGAAATACCAAAAAAATAGGTTGTCACACACAAGATCAGAATGAAAAATACATAGATGGAAGTCACAGCTTTCTTAGCCTATTATAACTCTTAATGCTAACCATTACATTGAGTATTGAGCATCTGGAGCATAGCCTAAAAGGAGCGATAAATGTAAAGCTAATAACCTCAGTTTTTGTTTTCTTCCTACCATTTTTCTTTGTTTATTCTCTAGGATCATGGTTTCTTCTAGTGGAAAGGGCTATCATCATAATGTTGCTGTTCTTAGTTATTATTTTGTGTTCGGCTCAGTTAATTGTTATTGGTAAGTATTGACTCTTTAATACTTTGCGATTACTGATTTGTCCTAAAATCGCTTGCATAAAAGCATTCATGTAAGATGAAAGACAGTGCTTACATCTAAAAGATGTCTGGTAGAATTGATGCAGATAATACTGAGTGGGGTGGTATGTCTGCTTTGTCACATGACATGGTGTTTGGTTTGCTCTGGAATCCTCTCCTGGTCATCAACACTGTGTTACTTATGTTCACTTCTGGGCTTTCTTCTGGCATGAATCAGCTAACATCACAAGAGTTAACTCGTATACAGTTCTCAAGGTAGTTCCTAATAAGCACTGTTACTTACAGGCTTGATCAATAAGAGTACACCTAGCTACACTCTTTTATGCTACATAGTCTTCCATTTCCTTTTTCAGTGAGCCTTGCACTCTTTCAGGGCATATAATGTATGTTTTTGGCATCAAGCTATGAAAGCACTAGTCTGGCGTAGCATTTGCAGAGTTTGGGACCTTTGAACTGAGACCAAACATGAACTCAACAAAAAGATGTGTGTTTTGGGGCTTCAGTATGCCACGTGGTGCCCCAGTCATACAGTGTGGACGCAGGCACTGTGTTGAAAGGGTCTAACCCTAAGCAGTGGGGTCTGGGCCAATCTGCTCTATTTGGTTGGAGGCCCGGGGTTGCTTCCTGGGGCTAAGATTTGTAGCAAATATATGTCTTTGTAGACAAAGGTATGACATGCAGCCTAAAGAGTCTGTGTTTACAGCTAGTTTGCCATATGGTGATGTTTCTGCTGCCAATACTGTTGCAAATGAGCTTTTTTCATATGTGTAATTTTTGTTGGTTATAATTGAGAAATTCTACTGTCATTGGTTAGAACAAGGAAGCTTTTTTTCACTGTTGGTTCACCATGACACTGAATCATTAGAAGCAGAAACGTTTCATTTTACGGTCATAAAATCAGTATTAGAGAAGGATGGTGCTTTCTTCTTAGTGTAAAATTGTTCATTTGTCTTTTAGCACTGGCTGAGTTATAATTTAACACTGACATCAATGATTTTGTTAAATGTTTTCAGAGGCAATATGTTCAACAGTGTAAGACATCCTTAGATGTTCTTTATACACTGGTGTCCGATGTGTATGCAATGTAGAGTGTGCATCTTTCAGATGGTTCCCTGTGGTGCAATTTGTTACATCAGTCTTTGAGGATTTTTCAGCCTTTTTCAATTTGTAGGCTTCTAAAAAATAAAAAAATTCTGCTTACAGTCAAGTCCATAAGAAATGGAAAGAAATCTCACTCAGAGTGATTTATAGTGATCACATACATATTCAGCCATCTATATAAAATTTCCATTATTACCTCTTCATGAACCTCTGAAAGTGGTATGTGACTCTTCAAAGGTTCATCTTTGGTCAGAGGCTGACAACTGATAAACATTTTTAAAATTATTTTATTTCCATGGTGTTAGATTTTTGATTTTTGTTATTGTTCATAATGGTTTAGGAGTCTCTGATATGTTCAGGAATTGTCATTGCCTTCTGTTCATAGTGGAACTTTAACATTTTTAGCATTTTGATAGGAAAGTAATAATTGTCCTGAAAAAGCATTGCTATATCCATGGAGAAGCACTGTCATTTTACAGGAGTAAGTTGAGCCTGCTTGGATTTTATTGCATCTGTGCACTTTATTGTGAGGTCTGTGACCTCTGGGGAAAAGTAGTCATGCGACCTCTAACTTAATAAATGTGGGTGTAGTTACTGTTTGGTTTTGTTGTTTGGTTTTTTGTCCCCCCCCCCCCTTTAATTTGCACTGGTTTAATTAACCTGTGAATCCAGCAATGCTACAGTATACCTTTAAATAGTTTGTTAAACTGGGCTTAATTTTTCTCTGTAACACTTGAGAATATAAGTTTTCTTAGTTTTGTGTTTTATGGAGGGGTTTGGGTGGTGTTGGGTTTTTTTTTGGGGGGTGGTTGGTTTGTGGTGGAGTTTTTTGGTTTGTCTGGTTTTTTTTGCTTACAGGATTGACTTTTAGGATTTAAGTATAGCCTATCCATTACTCATTTTTGCCTTTGTGTCCTGCTTTGTTTATTTACCATATTTATAATATAAAAAAATGTGAATTTCCAGCACAGATATGTGGGAATTTTTTACTATTACTACTATTCCAAATTAGGTTTTGGTTTAAATGACAGTAGTACTTGGGAGTGTGACTGGGGTCCTGTTGCATTAGACAATGTGAATATGATGAAAGACAGAGTTTTAATTACAAGAGAAGGTATTCTGTAACCCTTCCATAGATAAGACACTATTAAAGATTTTTGTCATATGTACCCTCTAGAATATTTACTGTATCCTTATGATATTTTTTTTGTGCTTACACAGTGCATGTGAGTGGGATGTTAATTCTGTACGCACTCCTTGTTTTTCTTTTTGAAGTTACTTACAATATTTATTCTCTGTTTGTGATTACCTGTTTCAACATATATCAAGATTGTTGGTATATTAATTTCCAAGCTTGGAGCAAGAGCTGCCTTATTTTGTTTCTTAGTGTTAGCAGTGTATTAGGCAGAAACAAACTCAGCTTATTATGATGTTGTATTTGCACTGTTCCTTCTTTTCCAAAGACTACTGAAGTGCTGCTGCTTTGAAACCCTCCACCATTTCTGAGATGGCAGCTATTTAGCAGTACAGTTTTACTGAAAATTAGTCTTGTCTATGACATCTGAACATGTAGGTCATCCCATATCTACTGATCCTCAAAGCATTCTGGTGAGATGGGAACATCTCCTTGTTCCACTGGGGACAAAGGTGACACATTTGAGCTCACACAGTGTCACGGGGGAGAGAATCAAACCTGGAATTTCTAAATCCCTGTCTGACACTCGCTTGAGTAACAATTTCGCTGTAACATTATTCAAATGTCAGTAGTGCATCTACTTGAATTAACTTGTGCCATGTCCCAAAGTTATTTTGATAACATAGCACCTGAATTGCATAGAAGATGGCATTAAGAATTTGACTAAAACACCAGGGCCAGGTTTCATTTATCTGAGTAAGCCATATTAACTATATCAAACAATGAAAACAAATAAAATCTTGGTAATATTTATAGTTCTAATTTTTTAGGACTTTGTTTATTTGTTTAGGACAACAGTCCTAATCATAGAACCTGTATTTTAGTGAGACAGTCTGTATGTCTGATTATTTTCCTCTCTGTCTCTCTTTGTTTTGTCTTTAAGCATTAAAATATGAAATTGCACCTCAGAAGAGAATGGGTGTTATTGTAGCAGGTGTCATCTCCACAGTTGCTGCTGTTGTAGGCACTGTTCTTTTTGTCCAAGGTAAGTGTATTAAAATTGCCTGCCTAGTTTAAGGGAATAAGAGCACAAGTTAAGCTCTTCTGTGCAGTAGTATGGAAGTTAGTACCACCTATTAATTGCCATCTGCTAACTTTAAAATGAAAAAAAAATATAGAATACAATAAAAATAGCATTGTGGTTGTCAGGCCCTCAAGTGATCATAGGGAGATGCAAACTGCAAATTTATTTCTATTTTCTTCCCTGCTGCCTTGAGTGAATGTTAGGGGCTAGGGAGTGACTTCTGGTGTTCAGTGAGGTTTTTTCTGGACCCTAAAAACTTGATGATACTAACGATTTACTTTTGTTGCTCTGTGCTTTATGCTGATCGAGGATTTCTGTTTCACTAATTTCCATACAAATGTTTGCAGATGGCTATACTGCACAGAATCAAGCTGGTCTTGGCCTAATTGTTGTCCCTGCTGTGATTTTGGTACCGCTTCAATACTTTATGTTTGGAATGGGTGAGTATTTATTCAGTAGCTCAAAAGCATACTGATTAAAAAACTGAGCCCCCTGGCCCCCACACCTCACAATTTACATACTATTTTATTTTTTTTTTTTCCTAATAAATAGGTGTTAAGATAGCATGCTGGGTTCCTGACATTTATAGTATCTCAAAATGAAATGTTTAACTTGGGCTTGTTTGGCCAAGTTGCTTCAGGGAAGAAGGATGAGTTACCTGCTTGAAAAATGAGATTTAGGGTAGGACATCTGAGTGATTCCTACTCTTCCTTCCTAGGCCTTGGGACTGGGATGAATAACTAACTCTCAAAATAGGTTTCATTTTTTCTACTTACAGTTTATTTATAATTTTATTTATATATACATATATTTTTGTGTGTGTGTGTATACCTACAAGAGCCCTGAGTGACTTGCATACCTGTTTTGTTATCATGCTGGCTGGCTGAGCCTGGAATTTAGGAGAATCTGATTTCTAGCTTTATGTGAATGATCTACCTTTTGTATCCCTTTAGTTAACCTTTAAAAATTGCAATTTTGTTTTTCTTTCTGTTTTTCCCAGTATTCGATAGTCTGCCACAAGCAACATTTGCTCTGATAGGTTTCCAAATTCTTGGTTATATAATTGCTGTGGTTGGGTTTGCACTGTGTGTCTCAGGTAAGCACTTTGTCTTCTGTAAAAGCGTCTTTTTACTTTTGTCTATACCTGATGTTTGCTTATTTGTAACACTAAAATGCTGTGAAAATGGCTTTGCTACATTGAATGTTAGCAAGTAACTTCTGCAAATGTACTTTAGGACTACTCTGTTAATGCTCTTTTATCAGGTGAAAGAAGAATAGCCCGAGGGCAGTATTACATATATCAGTTTCATTAGTATGCCTACATCCAGCATGACTGCATTCTGTGAACAGTTGCATAAAAAAAAAAAAGTTAATTGTTTTAATTTTCCAACAGTTAGTGCCCTGAAGAGTCACCTAAAACCAATGTTGACCTTTATTACTGTTATTCTTACTGAGGCCTAGGGTATTTAGAAACTAAACTGGAGTCATAATAACTTTCTCATGTTCAATGAGTAAACCAGAAATTCCTTGTGAATCTCCGTTTGTATGTGACTGGTAGCTGAGTTGCTGGGAAACGAATACTGTTGAAAGAGCTTAAGGCAGCAAATACAGAGACGGTAAACTTGGAAGCGTTCTTGGACTGTTTTAAGTCTGGTTGTGGTGGGCATTCTGTTTCAGCACTGAAAAACAGTCACTATTGTAAAGGAACACCAACTAAACACTGCACACAACGCTACCCCATATCCCTGCCTCTAACCCTCCCATTGTCCCCTGCCTGCCTTCCCCTCTGCCCACCAGAAAAAGCCCACAGCAGGGAACAGCGTGAATTTAGGACTAGGCATCCTTGTCAGTGTATTTAGTAGGAGAATACATACTCATGTTTGTTGGAAGCACTTTATACCCCTGACTTATTGTTTCTTAGAGGCATTCTTCATTTTGATCGTTTATTTGGTTGGGGATTTAAGCAAAACTATTTCTCCTTGAAGTGGTTTCTAAAGGTCTGTCTAATCTGGGTGAAATGATAGACCTTTCAGTGGAACTGTATTTTGAGTTTTATGCTTATTATTTAGTATTTCCAGAAGTATATGTAAGGGACACCCAATTGTTGTCAAATGTAATAGTAAAATAAACTGATGAGAGATTTCTGGTAGAGCATTAATCCCCTAGAATAAACCAAAATAGAGGATGTTTTTATTATGCTCTCAAATGGAAAGTCTCCATAGTTTTTCGGGGTGACCTTTTCCCAGGTTATATACGGTAGATGTTATTTGTACCTCTGGAAGTTTAGCGCAATGACCCTTCAGTGTCAGAAGAAATAGTTCATCCTAGGTTAAGCTCACACGTCCCTGGAAACAAGGATCAGAGAACAAGGAGTTTCTGCCGTCAACTATGGTTGGGTTGTAATAGCCTGTTCCTGCTCTGTGATATCCCTGTAAACATGGAGCATTCCTGTTATCTGTGGTGGATTTGCCTCACAATTACCCTCATATTCTGCTCCCTTCTTCCCTTTTTTTACCCTGTTTCGTCAGTAACAGTATTGTATTCTGTAATCTAATGCAACTATAGCCCAAACAATTGGGATTGAAGATGTAACTTTTAAATTTAAGTAATTAATTAAGTTAATGAAAGAATGTTGTCAATTGCAGTGAATTACAGAATAGCTAAACTGTAGCAGAATATTACAGCTAAGCAGGATAAATCAGTAAATGCTTCTGTATCATTAAGGAATGTATACAGAAAAAGAGATGCAGAAGTAGTTCTGGGATAGCTTTGAAAGAGAAATTGATCACTTATTTACTTTAATATTCAGTTATATCTGAAAATATGTTTGTGCTTTTACTTGTGTCAGATGATATAGTTTCTTTTCTTGTGTTTTTAACAGCTTGTCCTCCAATACATGGGTCTGTTGTCGTTGCTGGCTTAGCTATTATGGCTATTGCAAGTTTGCTTAGTCTGGCTTACGTGTTTATTATGGGTAAGTAGCACCTAATATTCTGCATTATTTTTTAGTTTAGCACTTCAGTATTCAGAAAGAGCAATTTTCTCTATTGTACTTTTCAGAGGTAGACAGCTTATTTGAACATAAGGTGTGATTTCACAATTACACAGTTTAAAAAATTACTGAAAAGTTGTCTGTATATATTGGCCTTGTTTCATAGAGCTTGTGGGTAATCTTGAGTAAAGAAATTTACAGCTTATCATAATAAACTGTCTAGAGATCAACATAGCCAGGTTTCGTAAGTAAGAGTGTTTCAACTGTAGGATGGATGTTACTGTTTAAGCTCTGCATTTACACAGTTGGCTGGCTGAAGCTTAGAATGAAGAGAGCAAAAGGATTTCAAGGGTTCTATGGAGTGGGTTATGGGATGGTGCAGACAAAAGCTTATCAAAATATGAATTTGAAGAAGCAAAGTCTGCCCTGTGATTTCCACTGGTTAGAAGTAGGTTAAAATAAGAACAATTTGAATGCACACCTTTCATTTTAGTGAATCCTTTTTTTTCTTATGCCTAATTTTAAAAGCCAGGCGCAAAGAATAGTAATACTTTGTTTCAGAAACGGTCTGTTCACCACATCTCAAAAAGATGAGAGATTTAAAGATATAAAAGCCAGTCAGGCCTGCTAAATAGGCAAAAAAAAGTGGCAACGATATGTGATTGGAACGCTGGCACACCGCAGCATAATGTTATGAGTACTTTACAGCTTGGATCTGAGAGCAGAGTGACTTTATTTGTCTCAAGCTGAGCGCAGAGGCTCTTCAAACAGCGTGTTAGTTTGGATGCAGAACCATGCAATTGAGGATATATTGGTTTCAGGTTCAAACTGACATGTATACAGTCAGTGCAGACCCTGGTCTGCTCTGAACTATGCAGTGTTTCAGGTTTAGTATGTGCACGCCATGTGTGGGCATGGTCAGAAGTAATAGACCCTGATACAGGGCGGACTTCCGTTAAAGAAGAAATAAGGCAAAATGCCTAATATTTGATGTCTAAGATAGGCAAAGTTGAGTGAAAAATGTGACAGAGGTGAAGCAAGCCTTTTAACAACAATAAAAGTAATTTTTATTGGCTTTGGGCTACTGGTATATATGGCTGTGATGCTGTGTGTGTATGCATAAATATTGGACTTGCAATTTGATTATGCTGGCTGAAGAAGTCAAATGTGATTGTTAGGGTAGATACCAGCACACCAAAAATAAGCACAGTATGTAGTGTAATTCATTTTTTAAAGCTGAATGTGTGAGTGAGACAATTCACAAGCTGTACATGATAAGAGTATTCAGTTCGTAAACACAGGAGTGCTTAGGGGCTTTAGGAATTTGCAGATCATCATATTAAGTAGTTTTGGATAGGGGAAGCTTCTATTTTAGGTGTTGCTGCTCTGTTCTAAGTTTCATCAGTAGATATTTTCATTCAGTTGATCATGACGTTTATTCATCTGCCTGCTCACTTTTTTGTAATTGTTTTAGGTTCCAGAATGAAAGATCATCCTCGTCCAGGGGTAAGCTTAAAATTAATAAATTTGGGGTGACTAGATGGCTCAGGGGATTGTAGTGAGATACTGAACCTTTCTTCACTAGTTCGAATTCAGACCAGGTTGGTAGCAAGCAAAAGTTCTGGCTGTGTAACAGATGTCTAATGTTGAGTGAGTCGGTGGTCTTCATTGTCCCTATTGAGTGTGTCTAGTACTGTAATCGCCACCCTTACCTGATGACTACTCCAGCTGTTGTGCCCAAATGGAGTTTCAAGGGCTGTCACAAAAAGGTGGTGGATGTGAAGGGAAGTTTGGTGTTCTTTTACAATGCACTCTTTGACATGAATTTATAAAGACCATTTGCTCACCTTAAGGAAAATGCTTTTTCATTAAGGTGAGTGCAGAATACTGATGAATTTTTTTTTTTATCTAGGTGGCTTAAAACAAAGACGTAGGGTTTTTTTTTTCTATCGTCTTTTACACCAGAACCCTTTAATATTCTGTTGAATTCCCAGCTATATGGGTGCTATAGCCTTGATCTTTTTTTCTTTTCTTATTTTACTGTAATGCCCCTTAATTTGATAAGACTATCTGAAAGCAGAGTATCTGTCTTTAGGTCACACAGAACAAATGGAAAAGCACTTTGTGTTTTTAAAGAAGGTTTCTCAGTCAGTTAGTTTGAATTCTAGAGTAATCATTCCTAAAACAGTCGTTTTCATAGACTTACACAGTGCTTTCTAGTGATCCGTGAATGTGAACTGCCTGATTTCTGGAGTTTTGCAGAAGCAAGGAGAGAGGCACAACTTTATAATACCAGTAAAATTTCCTTGTAGTCAGGGGAGCATGGCAAATGCTAAATCATCCCATTTCTTGGCTGGCAGCCATCATTTGAGACACATTTTCAGATCCCCTCTTCAGTCAACAGCCTGAGACCCAACTGTTGAAGAAAGATGGTTTCTGACAGTGGGGAAGGAGAGCTGATTGTAGTTAGGACAACAGAGATTTTTTTTTTTTTTCCCTTTTTCTCATCCATTTTCGTTTTAAGCAATGGTATTTCAGAGGACTGATCCCTTACTTATGAAAGGAATATAAGTGCATAGAGTTTAACAAAAAAAAAAAAAAAAGAGGAGGTTCACAAGTTTTATTATGTTACAAAAATAAGCTGAGAAGTGTATTATGGATACACTTCTTTCAAAATGCAATCTTGTTCTTATCTAACATGCTCATATTTACTCGTAGAATGGAAGCAAACAGAGCAGGAGGAGACTTTGGGGTTTTTTTTAAACAGTTTTTGGTTGTAAATAACCTTTATTAAATGCTTTTATTTTTTTATTTTATTACATGCTGTATAACATCCTTTGTGGAACTCCATTCTTTTTATGAGCTGTTCTCTTCACAAGGTGGTTTTATACTGCAGTAAGGATTTGACAAATAAAGAAATAGCCACAGTTATGTAGTAGTGAACGCCATGCTACCTTCTGAATTGGAGACAGGAATAAAATCAAAAGAAACTTTTAGAGGTCATTGGAAATCTCAGCCACTAAAAATATGAGGTTTGCAGCTGCAGTTAGTGGAGGGACAGATACAGAGGAATTCAGGTGACAATAATTTGTGCCCATGAATTTCTGTAAGTTACAGAAAGACCTAGTGGAAAATTAAGTGTGTTAATATGTTGTTCATTTTCATCAAGGGAAGTTCATCATATATTGCTGTACTTTAAAGCAATAGATGGGTGTGAAGTCATTTTGAAAGTACACTTCAATTCTGTGTAATCTAAAGACTATGGAAAAATTAATATAGGTGAAGTGCTTAATTTTGACACTGGGGCACACTTACAAAATGATGCTTGATAGTTTTTGAGTCTGAGGGGGAAAAGATGTGTATTTTGAAATCTGCCATCTTAACCAATTACTGATTTTTATTTTTATTTTTTTAATGTTTCTGTAGATTGCCTGTGTTGTTTCTGATTATTGTCTATCAGACTAAATGCACAACTGTAGTGTATTTCCTTTTGAGGAGATTACCCTTGATTGCTTGGCTACTTTTTTTATTTTAAGTCATGCTACTTTATTACTAACCACTGATCAAATCACACAATCTGTTAGGTTTTAGAGCTCAAAAGTAGTATTTGCATGCCTTTTGCTGCCACCTAGAGGTATTCCATCTGAGGAAAAATTTACAGTGGGGGAAAAATAATCTGGAGAATGCAGTTACTGATTGATTTAATTTTTTTTCAGAACTCTAGTCATTACTTCTATTAACTTTCAGCTTTCTTCATTTTTGTAGAATCACTACTTACTGTATATGTCAATTAGAGTAATTTAACTGTGGCGAGCCAAAAGTAAACATGAAGGCTTTTTATACATATATATATTTTTAAATGTTTTGCAGAAAGCTGTAGAAGAACCACTAAATGGTAGGTGATATTCAAGGCTTATCTTCTAATGAAGGGATTAATTATGGAGAAAGGTCAAAAAATAATTGTAGTTCTCAGTACAACAGCACTGAGATGGCAGATCGGTATGTCAACTTGTGTGGCTCTGTGAGTCAGTAAGAATTTGGTCTCTTGATGAAATTGTGCCTGCAGCTCCAGACCCCCTGTTCTCCGTTACTGTGTTTTGCTAGCCAGTGGCATTGTTTGACTGTTTTAGGACAAGTCTAGTATCTCAGATTATTATATCCACCCTCTTCGCTTTGCAAAAAGTCCAAATTTTAAGAGGAAAAGAGGGGACAAGTTGTGAAGCTTGATGTTAATTCTTCTTCATGGGCATTTATCTTTGTGGAATACTTACAATTATAACAAAACCTATCCTTGTCACACTATTATTTCAGTATGTCTTTGGGTCGGAGAAACTCTGCCATGGTGGTGGGCTACTCTGATAGTGCTTAAGATGGGGGAAATATACTTTGAGAAAGGGATGACTGAAATTTTTATTTTTATTTTTGCTATTCTGTTCACTAATTGGCATGCCAAGTAGTAGCAAGTAATCCAAATTTTAGAATTAACCTGAATATTAATTATGAAGCATTTCTTGCTGTTTGGCTTATTACTAATCCATTTGCTTGGCTTTTTAAGATGCAAAAGGAGTGATGTTAGAATGATGGTAAGTCCAAATATATCTCCAGATATTTATTTTAATTAACACGTATTTGGGGATTTTGATGTTTAGAGTTACCCAGTGCTAATATGATGAAACTTGAAGGACAGGTTTCAGTGCAGGTGCTGTTCTTATTCAAGTTATATTTCATTGAAAAGAAAGCATACATATTTTCTGTAACATACATAGGGGAAGAATGTGTATTTCTAAACAGTGAAGAGGATGAGTCAGTGAGACAGAACTATTAAATAATATGTTTCTGATCAAATGTGGAAAGTCAAATAGTTTGTATGCTTACAGTATTTAAGATGCATGGACTGTTTCCTTGGTGGTAGGTTGTTGTATTTATTTTTTGTTGTTGTTAATATAACTAAGCCTTCTCTATGTATTTAATTGGTCATCTCCCATGGAAGTTCACACGAAAGTGGTTTAAAAGTAGACTTTATCTCCCCCTCCCTGCCTTTAGATGTTACTTAAATTATCTAGGGTTTGTTAGATTGTTTGTATTCCAATCGGATTTCACTTAATTTATTATTTTCCAGGGTCAGATAGTAGTGTTTAAAAACGAACAGAACTGAAACACATCTTAATAAAATTTAAGGACTGCTTAAATAACAACTGCTTAAATAACTTCAACTTATTTTTGACAAACCTGAATTTTGAACTTCAAGATCTAAAGGTGCTGTGTGGCTTCTGCCTGTTGCTTATGCTTGATCTACAAAATGTGGTCAACAAAGATGTATGTTGCAGTGTCCTGGCCTAACTTAAGATTTCTTCCGATTTGAAGTGTCAGCGTTGGGATTAGTCCCTTTTGATTTTATAACGGTCTGTAAGATTGCAACACCAGCTACATGTAAATAGTCTCCTAATTTATAATAAGCCATGAAATGAGAGGGACTGTATTGACTCAGCCCAAAATTCCCAAACTGGTACCTAAAGTGGGTAGCCAAGTTTGCAAAGATTCTTGATTCCTGCAGCTCATATTCATCAGCAGAGTAACAGAATTTGCCTGGCCAGATTGTAGAGAGCTTAAAACTTAAGCTGTCATGGAAGATCTTAAATTTTAGGTTAGATGCTCAAGTTTGAAAATTACAACAGTCTTTCATTGATCTTTTCTATTTGGCTGTATGTACTTTTAATGGGAATAGGATAAAAGAGCACATGTTGATGCTATCGGTACTTCTGTTTCTTCCTGGAAAATGAGCAAGCTTGTCATGAGGTATCGCTAGACCTTAGCCTAGTACTCCTGCATCAAATTCCAGCATTTTACTAGTCAGAATAAAGAGTAAGGTCACTCTAAATCTGTTAATTTACTTGAAGTATTTTTATATCATGCCATTTCTAGAAGGCATGAATTGGCAATGTGACAATAAATGAGGTACTAATTAGGCCTAATTGGAAAAAGGTGTGTCAGTTCAATTTTAAAAACAGGCTTCCTTAAACCTAGCAGTACATGCTATTTGTACGTTACTTATGACTACTACCTGATTCATCCAAACATGCCATAGGATTGTTTTCTAAACCAACAGGAATACAAGGACCTTTGCAGTACAAAGGCCAACTGTATTGGTGTCTTCTAGATGCAGTGATAAAATGTATACCGGTTATTATAATCTGAAGTAGGAGGAGTGGAAGGTGGTTCCTGCTTCAGAAGTGACTATTGCTTGTTCTTCATGGCAGCGGTTTGAGATCAGGAAACAAATAGATATTTGCCAGTCTGTTGCATTCAAAACTGATCAGAAGGGAGATAAGGCAGTGCAAAATGTTGCTGCTCATCCCAAACAATTATTTTTTTTTTTTTTTAATTCCCAGAACTGCGGAGTTATGTGATATGTGAAAAGTACACCGTTGTTGATACACCGTGGCCTTGAAGATGCACTACTCAAAGAGAAGAAATTCAGGAAACTAGTTGTTTTGCATGTGTGGCAAAAGTGCTTTTGATATAAATGATGTAATTTTATAGTCACAGAAGCTGTAGCGAGGAACATGTGTGTTTGCCCACATGTAATCTTTATTTTCTTGTTATGGTATAAATGGTATGGTTGAGGGTGAGAATATAAAAAGCACTGTTTGCCCATTACAGGGTCTCCCTGCAGTAATCCTTAGTGGTATTTTTTTCAAAAACTATCATTAGTCACTGCTTTGATAATGGGCCTGCTCAGCCCAAAGATTGCAATACCATTTAGATTATTGTTTTCTTTATTTGTGTGCATGGGCAAGGTATGGTCATGTGTCTATGATACAAGCAGGAAGTAGAGATTTTACAAATGCATCTTTTCTGACATTCAGTAAAACTTTTATAAAAAAAATAAATAAAATGCTTATACACAAAGTTGTGTAAGTACAAAGTTTACTCCCAGCTCTCCTAAAGTTATTAACCGAGTTCTTCTAATTCCACAAAACAGTAGTATTCCTCTCCATGGGCAGTAGTCGTGTACGCTCTGGTGGCCAGTGTTTCAGTCCAGTGAGAGAGCTCTCCGTGCCTCTTCTGTATTC